CGTAAGAGGGAAAGATTGTGGGAGAATGACTGTGTAAAAGAGAGAAAATGAGAGCAAGGAGAGAATGAGAAAAGACGAAAGAAAGTGAAGGCAAGACAGGGCAGGAAAATTTCAGAGAACACGAGAGAAGACAAGAAAGAAAGAAAAGATGAAAGGAAAAGAGTTTTAATTAAATTTTATCTTTTATTTTTATATTTTATTAACCTAATATTCAATAAATACAAATTATTATTATTATTATCTCTTTATTTTTAGAAGAATTAAATTAATAAAAAAATCTTTTTAAAACAAATATGTGTGCCAAGTGCATAAAAGAAGTATTGAATATTACTATTCTTCTTAATCAAAAATGGATATTAAATTAACGCAATCAATCAAGTATTTTATCACGCCAAATATATAAGATAGATTGAAAGTGACTAAAATTAACTGGATTATAGTGAAGAAAAAACTTGGCGTGTCCGGATCCCATTAAATGCACTTCTATGATATAATATTATTTCAATAATATTTGAATTTAAAAATATAAAAATAATAGACATACAATATATATAATATATTAATATATATATATATATAATATATATAATACATATATAATATATATATATTATATACAGTATATGTATATATTTTACGTATGTATATATTTATTAATAACATAGTTTGTGAGACATAACAATATACTCATAAATAATAGATGTGATATAAACTTATGGAGAAATAATATATAATATAATATTGATAATATATTTATATGCAGAAACATTATAAAAAACAAATTTACAAGATTAGTACGTAATAATTAACATTTCTTCCTTATTGAATTATTGTTTTTATATATTGTGTATATATGCAGAGATATTGTATGTAATAATCTTTTTATTAATTTGTATTGCAAATAATTTCCGTACTATGAAAACATATTGGTCCTAGAATATTGCATTTTATGCGATCTGGCACGCCAAGTTTTTTCTTCACTGTAATCCAGTTGGTCATTTTAATCACTTAGTCTTGAGTGATGAAATATTTGGTTAATTGTATTTATTTCGTATCCGTTTTTTATTAAGAAGAATGTAATATTCGATACCTTTTTTATGCACTTGGCGTATATTTTTTCTTTTTTTAAAAAGGTATTATATGATTCGGATTCTGGGTTGATCTTCAGATATTCGAATATACGCAATAATATTGTAAAAGAGGAACGCAATAACAAAAAAAGATAATAATATACATGCATTAGATGAGACCAAATGATTGCTTTATAAGGTGCATTCCATTTCGCGCATGATGCGCATGATATATCATTTAACATTTCCTCATTGTTTATTCAATATTAAAGAAAGATAAAATGATACGTCATGCGCATCATGCGTGAAACGGATCTATAGAGAAACAAAAATTATTTGCACAATGATTTTTCGCAGACATCGAAATTCTTGTATGAAAAACCAGTTTCCAAATTGTAGTCAAAAAGTCAACGACCTTATACATACTTAAAACCAGGGAATGGAAGTAATTCATTACTTGTAACAAAATTACAGTTACAAGTTTTTTTTTTTATAACTTTACTGGTAACTGTTACTTTTTTTTTTTGGTAACAGTAACACAAGCTATTTATAGCGCTTAAGATTAGGCATTCGTCCGTTATGATTGATGGTCGTCGATTTTAAAAAAATAACAGAAAAGTAATGAAAAGTTACTTTCTCAAGTAACAGTAACTGTAACGAATTATTTTTAAAAATCGGTAGCTAATAATGGTAACTTTACTTTTTCTACGCGGCAATGAATAACTGTAACTTGTTACTTTTAGAAACTTTCAATTTCCTGCTTAAAATTTATACAAAAATTATTTAAACCTTTATGAAAAGTGAGAAGTGTTACACAGGATGATCTGGTTAATTGAATTATCGAATTCCAAATCCTCAATGTTGTACAATTTAATAAAAATAACTTTGCAAAAAATAATCATTATAAATTCATGAAGATCAACTTTTTCAAATTTTTAACGCATCTTTAAAACATATATTAAAATTATATATTAAATATTTTTGCGCTAATATCGAGAGTTCTACTGACATGTAAGTCTTTAAAACAAACTATAAAAAATCAGTAAAAAAAAATGTATTTTTTTAACAAAAATTATTGACGATCGAAAACTCAATTCAAAATTTTGAAAAAATTTATACGAATCGAGCACATTGTAAAAAACATTTTGTCTCTTTTATATTTACTTTCTGTAAAATTTTTAGTTTCGGAGAGACATTAAAAGACATTTTAGAAAAAGTGAGTTTTTACACACAAGATATTTTTGCAAAAAATCGTAACAATTTTTTCGAAAAGTATTTTAAAGCTAAAAAATCTATTTTAAAATATTAAATTTTGTCCAATGATATTCCATTCAAATAGTATGTTTCAAAAAATGATAAAAATATTGAAAAAATAACAATTTTCACGTAATTAAAAATATTATAGAAGAAATTCTAATGCTAGATTAAAATTATTCTTCCTCTTAAAAATACATAAAAAAAATTCTCTTGTTTTTGCACCGAGATACCTGCTTAAGTTTTTGTGAAATGCAAATATTTTGAAAATCGCAAACATTCCCGAATTTTTGAATATGAATATGCACGAATAAAGATATTTTATTAAAAGAAAAGAAAGTTTTGAAATAGGAACATGTTCATCGTTCATCGACATTAACTTTAATAAAACATTTTATTAATAATTATTAAAGCATTGCCTCTTTATTTCAATAAGAATAGAATTTATATGAAAAGCAAATGAGAGAGAGAGAGAGAGAGAGAGAGAGAGAGAGAGAGAGAGGCCAACCTTATACTATTAATAATAATAATTAAAAAGTGTATTTCTTAGATATTCACGTTGTTTGATCCAATCTCTGTAACAACTTATTGTCTAATATTTTTATTGTTCCGCTTTATTCATAACTATTATATATTGTTATATATTGTTATTTATTTGAAAAACCTACACAAGTTACTTACATCATTGTAATATTTAGGCCATAATGCTCTAATTTGGGAACTACCTCCGAGATCATATATTTTTACAAAATATGACTTATGCTTTAAGGATACCATTCGGAATCCCATTGTGGGCAATACATTCTGATCTGGATCTATAGTAAAAGTATTAAAAGTATTAGACCAGCCACATGCGTTTATAAGTAATTTGTCAAGTTGCCAAGTACACTTGTTCAAGTTTATTGAAACATGTGTATTGATTTGCGATAACTGTGTACCTAGTTTTGACACACATATGCTCCAATAAACTTGTAAAGCAGATTACACGTGCATACTTGATAAGTTTATTTGAATGTGTGGTCTTATGCAGAAAAAAACCAATGTGATATATCAATAAACTTCCCAGAGACTTTCGTTTGGTATTACAATATTTTTAATTCTTAAAAAATTTACCGCCACTAATATGATTCAGTATCGTAGACTTTCCAGAATTATCCAATCCCACAATAAGCAGAACAATGGTCCTGAAGTCATAAAGACAAATGTAAATAAAAAGACATTCCTTTCCTCTCTACAATACGTACTTTTCCGAGGCGCGATTTCTTCGCAGCCTCCTCAGCACGCTTCTGAAGCAATTGTTCATCGTGGGAAAAGAGATTTGTGATCCCATGCTTTTTACATTTCACCTTAATCGCGCCATCATTCATCGCGCATAATTCCGTATAATCGGCGTTGTGCGTTCCATGAATCTTTTTACACCGTTAAATCGGTTAATACGCGTATCAAATTGGTGCAAACTAAATATCTCATAGGTCTTTATTTACACTGATCTGTGACAGAACGGATTAGGTTAGATGACATGCAGGGTTTCCAACTTTTTGAGATTTTACTATACGACACGCTGAGTCACAGTAGCGCAACTCTTTGATGTTAATGTTGGTCAAAGTGGAGTGCGCATGCGCGAAATAAGTTCCCTAGTAACGCCATTTAAATTTTGTTCTCAGTTGCTCTTTATTTTTCTACTCTCTTTCACTCTAGGTCATTTGTACATACATCAAATTTTTAATCTAAATGTAATAAAACTAAAATAAATAGATTTATAATTGTAGTGCATTGCAAAACAAAAAAAAAATAAAATTATATAAATGTATGATACAAATATTATACTATAAAAATATTTTAATTAACGACTGCGGTACACGATGCTTGTTTTCCTGCTAGATCGCTTCCGTTTGAGTAAATTATTAGAATTGCAACACACAGAACGCAAATTTCCTAGCTAAAACGAAAGCAATCCACCAATTATACATATCACAGTATTTAAGCGAGGCTGATGAAATTGATGTGTTTGCAGATATGTGTGTGTGTGTGTGTGTGTGTGTGTGTGTGTGTGTGTGTGTGTGTGTATGATTTCAGTTAACGATTCATCTTTCATTGTATTGTTGTCTTATTTCCGGTTTTGTTACTGGTGGATTTTGTAACAGCAATTTTGCTGGCGCATAACCATTTGCAAGCTACTAATTGTATTTTATTAATTTTATGTTATGTCTACTATAGTCTATTGTATTATATTTTATGTCTATTACTTTGTTAATATGTAGTCTTTCCCATAAAGTTTCGCAATAAACTAAATTAAACAATATTAAGAATCTTTATTTTAGACCGCATATGTGAGAAACACAATCAATACTAGAAAAATTCCTATTCACACTACGAATTCACACTACGTCCGACATTTATCGTAACAATGAATGTCAGATGTTATATGTACGCATGATGGATATTGTACGTAGTGTGATGTACGTCCTATATTTCAGAGACAAAACGAATACTATTGTTACGATGAATGTCGGGCGTCGTACGATGGATGTTGTACATAGTGTATGTATGTACTACTCTCGCGTATAAAGCTGAAAGGCTCGGCTCTTCATCTAATCACGTACAACAGGGATGTTCACGAACGTCAATCCAACAATTGCGCCATCCATTGACTAGTAATCTCAAATATTTCAGGGCCGTAAGCCGCTCTACTAGCCTTATGCATCATGCATCTGTATACATTATATGAATATAGTCTTTAAGTATTAGGTAAATATAACTTGAATAAACAATATTATCAATAGCTTATTTAATATACATACGTCAAAATATTAATTCAAAGGGAATTATTTTAATCGAGAAGTTAGTTCATTTGTTTTATTCACAGCAGCCTCGACAGCATTCATCATAGATCCCCTGTATTCAATTATTAAGATAAATCTCATGATTATTTAGAAATTAAATCATTACATGATCGTAACAATCATATCAACCATGGTTCTCTCATTTATTGTTGAGAACAATTTTTTAACGGTAGAGGATTTTTCTATTTAAAACTTGCTCTACTTGCCTGCGATTAGAACTGATATGATTTTTACCAGATTCTATATGTATGTATGCATACATGTGTGGCATGCGCATGTGCACGCACGCACGCATGCACGCACGCATCTCCATCCATCCACTAATGATGTTTGACATTTACTCATTTATACTTTATGTATATTTAACAATGAAATATATAAAATATCTTTTGAAGTACCTGACTCCTCCTTTTTCCATTGCATGAATGCCAGTAATAGTGGTACCTCCAGACGAACAGACTTCATCCTTCAACTGGCCAGGATGTCGTCCTGTTTCGAGAACCATTTTTCCAGCTCCTACTAGTACTTGCGCTGCAAATTTAGTTGCCATTGGTCTTGGCACCCCCATTTTTACAGCTCCATCTGCTAATGCTTCTATGATGAGATATGCCTAAGTAAAAATGTATTGAAATAAAAATATGCAACTATTTCTATTTCTTTAATTATAACAATCAACTACAACAACTTACAAATGCTGGGCCACTACCTGACAAACCACCAATGCTATTCATAAGACTTTCTGGAACAATTTGACTCACGCCGATATAAGAAAATAACATATCCACCAGTTCTAGATCTTTCATTTCAGCGTTGTTGCTACAATAAACTAAAAATTACCTTATATTATCACATTAGCTAATTTATGCCATACTGCAATTTTTTAACGTACCTGTAATTCCTTCTCCAATCATCATAGGTGTATTTGGCATGGATCTAATTATTCTTGGTGAAATCACAATTGCAGAGAGTTTCTAAAAACATTTTGTATAAGTTATCATAAAAATTGAAACATTATATGTTACACAATATTCACTTTACTTACAATATACAAAACATCAAGAGATACTCCGACAAGTACTGAAATAAAGAGCTTGGTCTCAAATTTTTCACCTGCTCTTTTCTCTGTAATAGTCTCAAGCGCATCATCCAGCATATGTGGTTTTACTGTTAGAAACACAATGTCACAGTTGTTTACAACTTCATTGTTTTTTAATGTTGCACGAGCCCCTAGATCCCTCCAAAATTTATGTGTTCTGTCCGTACGACTAGAAACCCAGACATTATCTGGATTTAATATACCTGTTGTAGGTAAATATTTAGAAAGAAGAATATTTAGTGTTTCTTCTATATAATTTACCTTACTCTCATATTCATTTCTATCATGCTATTAATTTTAATCTCAATTTAATATTCGTAATTTTTTTTAATTCTTAAAACTAAAGAATACGAAATTAGTTAAACCAAAATTAAAGTTAATTTATATTAATGGAAATAGTGATAAATATCTATTATTAGTGATGAATATTAGAGTGATGAGCAAGTACGTTTACCTCTGCGAATTAAGCCAGCGCCTATAGCACTAGCCATATTTCCGCCTCCGATAAATCCGACTTTGATGGATTTTAGATGCTGTTCCATTATAGGTCACGATTACGATTTATGTATTAAATAATTGCCACGTGTTTCTTACGTATGTATACCAGTAGTAGGTCTATCCATGTGCCTTTTAAAAAGGTATAATTTCACATGCTGCTAAAATAAGCAATTGATACGAGAAGATAGATCTATCCATAGGCTCAGTCACTGTTATTTCAACGGTTGAAATTTTGTAGTTTGAACAGTTTCAACTGTAAGCATCAAACGCTCAAACGATATTGACAGTGCTGCTGCACCATGTCGACCTATGAATTGCACATGTTCTTCTTATATTATGACCAGCCAATCGAATGCTAGTCAGGATGTGGCGCGATATTTAGATTAATTAATGATAATTCTGTAACTGGTTATGCAATCGTTATGTGCTTATAATGACAATTGCGCAGATATTTTATATAGTAAAAAAGTTGCGCAACTGTCGCATTATGAACTCATAACAAGTTACAGAATTCCATTGTTGTAGGCCTATTCTGTAACTTTTTAACGATAATTTTACGCGCACGCTTTAGAGCGAATTAATGTACGTATACGAATAATAATCGGTGCACTCAAAGAAAGGTTTTTTTTCGATCCAAAGAAATTTCTTTGCTTTATGGTTAAAGAAACAATTTCTTTTGATTTAAACGTCATTTCTTTAAACATCACTTTTTGAAATCAATTAAATTTAATTTAATTCCCTTTGGATGCGCCAATTATTATTCATGGATTATGGAAAAAAAATTATTCCAAGTGCTAAGAGAAGATGCAATTTCTTCTTTTTTTAAATAACAATTATCTTTACAGAAATTAAGAATATTTTCAGAATTTAAGAATATTTTCTTGATAATATAATTTTGAAATACACTTATTATTTACTTGAGATAAATAATATTTATGTTATATTTTTCTGTATGTACACGCGCACACTTTAGATCAAATTACAACTGATCGTGTGAGTTCTCGAAAAGTTCTCAATTTTCACAATCGAAATATTAATTTGTAAACCAAATATTCGCCATCGATAGTTTGATGCGCGGGAAATGGGAAATGGGGAATGCCTGGCTAAAGCTCTAGGTATAGAGCTAGGTATACCGAAGTAGCACAAAAGTCCTCCATTTTCGACTAATTTGAAAAATTCTTAATAGAAAATAACTTTATTACAGTGTTTTGAAAGTTCTTGACATCAGCTATTAGATTCGCACATTAAAAATAGGATGTTCCATTTTAAAAAATTGATTTGATCTTGACCTGACTTTGGATTCGAGGTCAAACAGATGTGATCAATGAATAGATCTTTTTAAATCCTACAACTTTTGTCTGAAACATTTATCTCTTCTAATTTTAAAGATTTTTTAGTGTCAAAGTTAAAATGGGACACTCTGTATATATAATTTGTTTAAAATATAAATATTAACACACTTGTAAAAATGACAATACATCCTTTATAAAAAATAATTTACAAATAACCTTACTTAATTTTGTGAGAATTATCATGCTACAATATTTTGTGTCATAAACTTTGGGACACCTATATAATTTATTTATTATACTTATTGTAATTAATACTAAAATTCACGAAGACAAAATTTGCATTTATTAACACATACATACGCACGCATACAAAAAATATTGCATTCTGCTCTATCTAAAAAAAATATTATAAACTAGTAATAAAATTTTGTAAAAGATCTGTAATAAGCTGTTCGATATTTTTCTAATAATACGATGTCCACACATATTTACAAATAAGCTTAAATTATAGCGCTCTTTATTTTAAAAACATACACTTTTCATCAAAATCTAATCTTTTGAATACTCTACACATCGTGAAGGATCTGTAGGATAGTATTCCTGGCATTTAGTCATTAATCTTTTGAGTGCTTGAATATACTTCCTCTGAGTTTCATCGTTCATGACATGAGCAACATTTTTAGAGAAGATTTTTTCTCTACCAGTACGAGCATGAATACCAACCATAGTTACACCAATAGGCCATGGAGAGTTGCCTATTGCCATTTGCAAATAGGCGTCGCTAGCCTGAAACAAAAATTTGATTTTGTCATAGATACAAATATTTGCCATTATCATATTTATTATTA